TTATCTGATCCTAACTGATCATCACATACACTTTACTCCAGGATCCATACACAGTCATCCGAGTAGGAATTGACTCCAGTTAGTTTTCCATTCCTGATAGCAAGGTATTTCTTGCCAAAGTTTGCAAACAAAACCACAGCTCTTTCACCGCCTTGGTATTGCTCGTCTGCTTTAAGCAGCCATTCCTCGGCCCCGTAATGCTGTCCTTTCGTGTAGATGTAATCTCCATTAGGATCATATCCTAATAAACAACATAGCATTAGAACCAGATCAGGTGTTTTACGTAGAGAGGTACTAAGGGTATTTGAACGTCGCCATAAATATCAATATAAATATTTATGGAGTGTGTTGTACAACCYGTCCCTGCCCTCCTGGTTGATCGTTTTTAAGGCAATAACGTAGCTTATATTGGTTTCAATGTCATTCTCAGTCATGACTGCAATTATTAGGTCGTGAAGTTACTGGCCCTCCCCCTCCCCCATAAGACCTTGTATATGTGTCATAGCTTTTGTCCTATTCAAGGTAAAAAACTTACTGCCCCTCCCAAATAAAACCCTCCTACCTAAGTATCCATTGGTGTCATAGTTCTTGTAGTAGACAATCTCTGATTTCTTTTGTTTTTCTTCTACCCAGTAACTGGTCGCCTCGGCGTTGTCTCTTAGTACCAGTGTGCTACGGCTTCCACTTTGTGGATGGAATTTCACTTGACCTAAAAAAACACGTTAAATTCCACACGTTTTGGCGATTTCATGTAGTTTCGACTTATTCAGTCCCTTCAACCAAATTTTTTAATATACCATTTCATTATCGCAGCAAAATCTTATAATATCCGATAAACAATTCATTTTTGATTGCGCACTTTACATARGCCTTCAAATTATTTCTCTTTAATTTAAAAGTCATAAGACTGTTGATTATTTTAATGATTCCAAGAGGTGTCATGTCATGTGATAACGAACAAATGGTACCTGACTCGGCCAAGAACTTGTTGGCCAGTTTATGTCGGAAAGCACGACCTGGCTTCTTCTCGACAACTTTCGTGGGGCACTCGCTAGGGGCTTGTTTCTCTGCCTCTTTTGTTTCATCCGCAGAAAGCGTGATGTCATTTTCCGCAGCATGCATGATTTCCTTCGCAAGGGATTCTACACTTGAACTGAAGTTTGAGGGATCCCTAGGATTGGTGAAAGATGATTTAGTATACTGAAAAAAGACATCGATCATCGAGTGTTTCGTACAGAATTCTTGGAAAAATACGTTCCTCTGCACACTCTGTATGTCTTTCTGCTCTAGCGTAAACAACTAAATCAACTATCTTAAATTAACAATTAATTCACGATTRAAATTGTAGCGTKAGTGTTACAAACCTAAAGTTAATCCACAGTAGGCCAGCAGTCACAACACCCAGCCATCCCTTGGCTTTGAACCCATTTTCAACCATGACTGGGACAATAGGAACATCCTGGGCATCAGCATAGTTCAACTCCTTCTTGCAATTCTTGGAATCCTATCACAGAAAATGGTATACATTTTCAATTAATTGTTTCAAAGCGCAAAACTTGTTAATAATTCGTTCAAAGATATAGCCCAGTTGCGGAACCAGAACCTTACAAAGGGTGGTGACCAGCTAAAGAGAAAAATATTGAGAAGATAGATTTAGGGCTGCGGAAATGAGACAAATGAACGCTGCCTTAGWTGTTCGGAATGAGTCTCGTTTCATATTTTTTCTAATTATTTCTGTATTTTTGAACTCTTAAAGGCACCCTAATCACCACCCTAATCGCCTCTCTGGATCCKCACTTGTTGGCCGTTGTTTACCGAATATTTTTGTGTCATAAAACAGCAAACAACTCCTGCGTTGTCAACGCCTTCTGCCATACTAGAATGGAGATGTAACAGTGTTAGTARTAATTATCCACAGCAAGCAAAAACAAACCTGAAATTTTAACTTAAAAATAAATATTSGAGTAAGTGATCATAAAATAAACACAACGCATGAAACAAGCACATATWTCTTGAACACGAATACAAACAAGAATTATAAGAATGACAGATCGACAGGAAAGAAGATTAGTTCCCAGTACCTGTCATTAATGTTGCCAGAGACGCCTCCATGAACATCCATCCAGGCTCTCAATCCTTGAGCTTTTAAAGCATGATAGACTTTATCCACTAGATCCTGAGAGTCCCATTGGTAGGACAACATCACGTGACACTCCGACATGCTACATACATGCATAAATATAAGATTCAACATATTTTCAACATATCATCGACGAATATGGTTATGTATTATATGAAATCGATGCATAGATAAAATTATCAACGAGGAATTGTAATTAAACGCTATATAACAACTACAAGACTATGTTTTGTCGTAAAAAACTTGTTCTGTTACCATGGGAAATAGGACGCTACGGTTGAACGATRCCCTCACTATGTACAAAAACATGTACAATTCTAAGACAAAAACTTTGGGAAATAACATCAGAAAATCAACTAATTCTTCATGCTTCAGTAAATATCGATTGAAATCCTTCAAAAACAAGCGCTCCTAGATTAGTAATGATAATATTTTCAATCATATACTTTGCCGTTTCGTTTCGCTGCTTTCTTCAGCTTTCTCTACTTAAAGGATTATTATCCATATTATGGAGTTTGTACTTTCCCATACTTTCAAAAAATAAAATTTCAATAAAGAAAATACATTTTGCTTGTTCATTAATTTACTGGTAAGAATTTTCAAGTAGAAACATGAGTAATATTTCTTTAGTTTTAGAATATCATTTATATTGTATGCTTGAAACTATAGCATATAACGACTGAGTAGTCAAACATTTCGAGGAGAATATAAAAGAACATACCTTTATGKTTGCTGGAAGTTTTGGATATTGTTGATGTAGCTTTAAGCTCGTAGAATCTTTCAACAGCCAGTGAGAAAATAAGCATGCATAGGCTCAATGCCAGAACCGGTCTTCCTCGACGCGACGCTTCGAAGCACTTTTTTAAAAAAGATTCGTAAATTTGCATCATAATAGGCCAGGATAATAGGCGGATGCAAAGTTTATTTTGAAAGCTTTGCGCGAATCACATGAGACCACTGAAGACAATGTATATCATCACGCATTGTGATAAGGAAAGACGATGTTCTACGATGTTGTGGAGAGGTTCAGTTTGCTAACGCTATAATATCAACACAAATGAGACAGACATTGATCTTAAAACATTAAATAGCTGGTCTTAACTCCTTCCTCCTGAAAACAGAAGTATTGCTCCTGCAAGATTCAGTCACGTGACTGATGCATCATGAGAGATGAAGTGAGATTTGATCATTCTATGAATACGGCTGATTTATATTATAAGATTCACTAATTCCCAAAATAAAAGAAAAAAGAATATCAGTGAACAATAATAGTTATGGTGGAATATAACACCCTTTATCAACTTGATGTATTTTTTTCTATCTATATAGAGCGCATTAATTCTTATCATATTGTCAGATSATCCAATGAAAGTAACACTACAGTAACCATAGAAACTGAAAACCGAAAAGAATTGTGGGACAATGCTAAATAACTAAAAATAACTGAAAAAAAGAATTTGAATCAACTCGAATTACTTTCGGCTTTAACTATCTCTATAGCATTGTTCAACTTCMGAGATCATGTAACTTGTCTCCAGTATCTCACCATCTGATCTCACTGACTTGCTTGTCAACTGCCAATTCATGACTTCAAAATCTGATTAAGTCTTATTTATGGAGGATTTAAAAAGCATAAGCAACTTCCACCACAGTAGGTTTATACTCGGAATGAGCTTTGATAGTTATTATTTGCATAATATGACTGTTTAACAGCAGGCTACAAGCCATTGCATGCTCTCACGGAAAAACATCAGTCCAAATTTCATAAAATCGGAACTTTTGTTTTAACCTGAGAAAACGGAATTTAAAGTCAGAAATATGATAATCTATCATTATAAAACAATTTAGATGGACACCATTTTAGTCACTGCATTTTTACGAGGCTGAGCAGTTTCTGTAGTAACGTATCCGATAGTCAAGTTTTGAATATAAATCTATTTTTTAATGAATCTCCGTGATTACCTTACAAAAACGTCATGTAGATTGAAACTCTGCATCACATAKTCATCTTAAATGTTTGCGAAACCTTTTTGGGACATTTTGCGTCGGAAAAATCAAATTGAAAGGCAAAAGAGTGAAGGTAAGTAAAGCCTGTTTTCATTTTTATTATCATTACGACCAGACTGTTAATTTCTTTCGTATAATATTTTCTTGATAGAATAGTAGCAATAGTAGGTCTTTTTGTCATTGATACTCCACTATACCAGTCAATATGATCCTATCATGGTATAAAACCTTCCGCACGTAACCTGAATCCGAAAATTTCCGAAAACCGTTTCAAGAGCAGAATTGAATTCAAAAGGTTCCACAGCTAAGGATGAACAAGGCTAAAAGCATTTCCATTTTGACTTGTCGATGTTTTCTTCGAATTTGAACCTTTGAGACAAGGTTTTGCCTTTCACGTCAAACCGCGCAAGATCCACCGGTCGCATTGTGTAAATGAGTCTTTATAAATGTCGTCAATATACTGTTGGTATATACTATAGKTCTTGGTCATAAGCAGCCKGAAATCMTTCAAACCGCAATTGGTTTGTTGACGGAGCTTAAAAGATCTTGACTTTTTTGGCTGCATTTTGAGCTCCMAGTTGCCATTAAAACAAAYAAGCCACGTCACTGASTCAACTAAACTATAAACCTCAAGAGAAACAGCTGTCAGCTGTTTATAGAAAAAGACGAAACACACTCTTACATAACACCACACACGCAAAACAACTCACACACACAATCAAAACAAACAAAACAAAAAACAAACAATACTAACAACCGCGGTCTCAAAGCTAAAAAGGTTTCAATTTTATTGTGTAAAGGACAAAATTAAGTGATGAAAAATAATGAACATTAACAACAACAACAAAACAAACAAAATGAAATAAAAAAGAAAGCAAGAAAAGACTACWAAAACCCTTCCATGATGAGCTACTAATTCAATTTGCTTATAAAATCATCAATCGTATAGAGGTTGAGCTCCGCCTACTTTTTATGATAGTTAATTCTATTATTTACCAAATTAATGATTTTTTAAAAACCAAAAGTGACAGTGAAAAGATAGCGTCAAGATGTTTATTATGTACAAATAAACTTCTCGTTAAAAACATCGACGAGWACCACAAGTATTGAAATCAAAAGTCATGYAACCAGGSAGCCAATYCAAGCGTAGCATCTGGGAGGAGTCARTGAAAAGAGAATTCAGTTCTTGATAATTAAAATGACCGATAATAAATGTAAAAGTAATAATTCAAGGTAAACGATTTGATGTAGATTRCTAACACGCTAATATCCCCGCCTAGCAAGCGAATCATGGCCTACCGTTATCTRTAAGTGCAGTGTTTACTGCAAACAAAGGAATACCAGTTGTTAGTGCACCTTTTAGCGGGTAACTAGACAATCAATAAATAACTACACAACACACCTCTCGGAAATGGAAAAATATCAAAATAGACTGACAGTACATTCTCATCGTTAACTAAATTAGAAAATCTTCATTCTACTTGCAAGATTACAACACTTCAGTGTTTTTTTGTTATTGCTCGACCGTGTATCGTATGGTGATGGAGGTTTGATATTGAATGACAAACAAGGAAAATCAAMWTTTTTCTCTACATATAACTTACATCACTGACTATGGCTTCAGAACTGTTTATAGCAAAAACACCAAAAAAGACATATGCAAAATTAAACGGCCAAGATGAAGGGGACCAACGCGAAAAAGGACACGAACTTCAAAATGTCACCGAGGACAAGCTCAAGAGAAGTGAAGTAAAGCTACAAGATGACCAAACGCGGAAAGGTAAATCTCATTTTGTAGTTTTCTCCAATTGTTCACCTGTATTCACATTTCCTATMAATTTGATCTTTTGACGAATTTCACGGGATTCCTGTGCAATCCATACAAGCGTGAAGAAGTACTAACCGCATCGAATAGTGCTAATAGTAGAATATAGTGTAGATATATTGAAATTCCAAGAAATTCGCTTGATACCGTACAATATAGTTCTATTATTATTTAATTTCCTGGTTTTAGCCTTTAAAGTAATACCGGTCGTTACCTCTGCCTCAAATTTTCAGTAGAGAGAAACTGACACGAGGGYACCTGTCACATTGACCTTTCTTTTTCCAGTATCCAAGTGTTGTATCATTTATACAAGGACCACATAGATTTCGAATAATTCCATATCAAACCGTCAATTGCAATTTTTTACAATTTTGCAATATAACAGCTAGTATCAGCTAKTAAAACTATCAGTTTCTGACATACTTTATGCGATTAGAAAAAGGTCTTGATATGAAACACTCTTCAAATTCGATATATTACACAAGACTTGAGATTCAGAGTCAGTCACAGACTAGAGTGGGTTGACCCGAAGATTTAAAAGCGGAATTTTTTTCTGGCCTGTCAACCACGTCAAAATCGAAGTGAGGTGAATAAGAAAAGTGCGCACAATATCTGATCAGAGTAAATCATGCAAGTAAAATTCCGTGCATAACAACCTTCTAGTATCGAAAGCTGGTCTTGCTTGTTTTGCTTTCCTTGTTTATTATTTCRCCAGTGTTCACAAGATGTCAAAGCATAGCTTTAAATCAAAAGCGTGCAAATATCTCAGGTTGACAAACACCTAGTCGAAACACCATGTGAATTGATATCTATCCACAGACGTCTAAAGATTAAAAACACTTTCGAAATCGCGATTAACTGTTATATTTACCAAGGACAGCCACAGTAAACACTGTWGTAATTTCTACATATTGACCATATGGAGTTTATGAGAAAAGTTAGGAACGCCTTTTCTAAGTTTTTCGCGTATGATGGTGTGCAAGAATGTGAAGATTCATTTCAAAGAAAAGATTATGAGACGATTCGACTCAACAATAGAGGTAAACATTATTTCCAATGAAAGCTGGATGAAATTTTCAGAGGGCGAGGAAATGTTTTTTTATTATCTAATCGAGTCAATAACGTTGCTCGGAACATTAGACAAAACACCTTTCACAGATCACGTGTAAATCATAAAGATGGCTGGTTGAAAGTTTAAATTCGTGAGTTAGATAATCAAATGTACATGACATTTTATACGAATCAGTATATTTATTGTATATAGTGTGCTTGGAATATTGAATCATGCACTTCAAMAGAACTACAGTCAGTTTGAAGACACTATGCATTTTTACCTATAGGTTTGCGGGCATGATATTGACAATTTAAGAATGTTATATGACTACAATGCCGTATTGACACATTGTAAAGCGAAATCAAGGCAGACTAATACTGCTAAGAATTCATAGAATATCACTAATAAATACATTCCAACTACATGTAATGGTATAACACTTATAACACACATGCATATATTTTTTACACGTTGAAAATTTATACATAGAATTGTTATTATTAATGAGCATCCTTTGCAACACTGCATGATGGGAAAATTATCAACACCGGACAGAAATTCTCGATAAAAACTGCAGTATAATCGGGACCAATAACTGTGGCTGTTTTCGCGTCCGATATTTATCAGTACAGAACATACCGAGATACATCAAGATGTCGGACAGTGAAGAAGGCGATGAACTTATTGTTGGTTTTTCGACTGATTCAGGTCGAGCGAGACTTTTACCTCGATCCAAACAACATCGTCAAGGAAATGAAAGATTTGAGAGAGAACTTCGACCACTCGTACAGCAAAACGAGGAACAAGAGCCTACTTTTGAGATACGAGATCGTGAACAAACTGAGTTTGACAGCGAGGCAGGTGAATGCCTAAATGTTTTCTGATTTATTTTTACATTTCATGAAATCGTGAGCTCATTCAAGTGTCGCTCAATCGTCTGTAACAGCAAACCAACGAGAAACGAATCGCAGAAATCTGAATCTGACAGGAAWTTCTCTTTACAGTCCGCGAGATTGTTTAAAATTCATTGACAAGTATTACTTTATTTACATAACGGCTACAGGTTCTCAAGTATTTGAATATGCTGCCCCTTATAAGAATAATGGCTTTTAATGAATTTCAGCTTCTGATAATTTCAGCTTATTTTCATTTGAATMATTAGATTTCCATATATTTATATAAAACTATTAACACCCAAACGTTTCCACTCAAACAAACGTAAGRTCGTTTGGGATTCATGATAGTGAGACATAAACCTCAGTTTGAATACATCAATTCATTATGAATATCAATGATTGCTAAGTTCCCCTTTGTTATTTTTTTTTCTGTTTTACTCTGTAGGCGCAAAGGAAACCTACGATGTTTCTGATGCGGTGGAGAGGATTGGATTTGGTAAATTCCAAGCCAAACTGATAGGAATTATTGGATTTTTTGTGGTAAGTTCGTCTTATTTTGTTTGTGTATAGTTTTGATTCAACAATAGAAAGTCTTTATCACGACAGATAGCTGATGCTCTAGAAATGATGTTATTGTCGATATTAGCGCCCACAATACGATGTATATGGCATTTGAATTCTGTAGAGGAGGCATTTATAACTACGGTATGTGCTTAGTATATATATTACAAAGACGTCTCAATGTGTGTAGGAAATATTACCATATGTTGCGCCAAATACAACAATAAGAATATTTTAAACTATGTTGATCATTTAGGTTGTATTTATTGGAATATTTTAAACTGTTGATCTTTTAATTTGTATTTATTGGCATATTGCACACTATGTTGATCTTTTAGGTTGTATGTGATCGTATATTGTACACTATATTGATAGTTTTGGGTTGTATTTATTGGCATTTGATGTTGATCTTTTAGGTTGTATGTGATCGTATATTGTACACTATATTTATAGTTTTGGGTTGTATTTATTGGCATTTGATGTTGATCTTTTAGGTTGTATGTGATCGTATATTGTGCACTATGTTGATAGGTTGTATTTATTGGCATTTGATGTTGATCTTTTAGGTTGTATTTATTGGAATGATGCTGGGGTCATCGTTCTGGGGTTGGATAGCAGACTCACTAGGAAGACATGTTGTAAGTGATTTATAAGTAATTTTGATGGTATCTCACTAGGAAGACATGTTGTAAGTGATTTATAAGTAATTTTGATGGTATTTCATTCTATATCACAATTATCGCTATCATTTCCTGCTGTCATTATATACTGTTATGTCAGTTAAGTCATGCGTACTACGGTATCGCAGCCACCATGCGCCTACTTCTGGGACAAAGTTGCTCAAAATCACCGAACAAGGGACCGGCTAAAATTGTGTATTATGGCCGTATATCGGTGCTCCCTACTGTGCGCTTTATGCATTACCCGACCTCTTATAGGTCCCGGAGCATTCGCCGTGACGTTTTGAGTATTTGAACACAAGATTTACACGAGTTAAGAYATTTAATACGATTTTAGCATATAATTTAAGAATCAATTAAAATATTATTTCTTGGTGCCCCTTTGCTATTTTGCAATTTACAGCTTTAATGGTTGTTTTTTTTTTGTACAGACAGTATGTTTGTCTGCTGCTTGGATATTTTATTTTGGTTTTCTAAGTGCATTTTCTCCTCATTATTACTGGATTATCGCGTTACGATGTCTTGTCGGGTTTGGCATCGGTGGAGCACCACAAGCGTAAGTAAAGAAACGGCGATACTAAAAAAATATCTTTTTAAACAAAAGAGTTTGTTACTTATCGAAATCTCTTACTGTTCCAAGATTGGATGAAATAAATACATTCTTATYAAGTCTCATCGTCTTTACGATTCAATTCAGTTTCGACAGTTTTCAAATTATTTTCAACGATTTGCATAAAATCACATATACACTGACGAGGCTGATGAGTATAATTTCATGCTGACTTGCATTAATTTTCTGCATTGATTRGAAATTAACATTTAACAATAACATAAATTATTTTTCTCTTGACAGAACTACATTATTATCGGAGTTTTTACCTCTCAAGTCCAGAGCGATATCCATATTATCATTAGCTGTAAGTACTTCCAGTGTCCATTGGGACTTTTTTCMATCTCCTGCCCTTTGCTGCACTATGATCACGTCTGCAATAAATAAAAATACACGCTTACTGTATGATTAAAGTGAAAACATATGGATTGGTCATGTACTATATACATACTTAGTGTACATTTATTTTGATTTAGATATTCTGGGCGATAGGCTCTACGTTCACCGTTGCTGTGGCAATGGTCATTATGCCATCTCTAGGTTGGCGGTGGCTTCTGGGAATTCTGTGTCTACCTTTGCTTTTGTTTCTGTTGCTAAGTAAGGTATGTGCCCACCCTGAATATATCATGCTAGTAGCTTGTGTACCCCCTGAACACTACTGTCTATGATCAGCAAACCACAGCAGTCTCGAAAGGTTGAATATGTGCTAGTAAGCAAGCCAATCTGAACAAGGTGTTTTTAAACAAGCCCTGGGTCATGAAGACCTAGTTTAGTCACACATTATATTTTGACCATTCACTATTGGTTCGCAGTGGCTACCAGAATCATGTCGCTTCTATTTGGCTGCTGGAGAGCACGATAAAGCAATAGAAACTCTTAAATCAATGGCAKCCATGAATAAYAAAGACCTGCCTCCTGGCGAACTGCTTGATGCTGCTCAGGTATGGTGAACAAAAACATCGTCATTCCTGTTCTAAGCTATTTTGCAAACGATTCACTTTTATAACACAGAGCAAACCAAGAGGACGAATTGTAGATTTATTTATCAATGGTCAGTGGAAAACAACTGGTTTATTATGGCTTATTTGGTGAGTTTTCTAACGTTAAAAATGTACACAGACGTGTGAAACTTTAATAGGCAAGATTTATAGATACGAAAAATAAGAAAGKAAAATGATTATAGGGTCATCACAATATCTCTTGTTTCAACAAATGACTATCAACCTTTTCTTTGCAGGTTTAATTTAGCGTTTTCATATTATGGTATAGTGCTGACCACAACAGAAATGTTCCAAGCCTTTGGTGAAACTGGGCGATGTGGTATGACTACAGACGATTTATTCGATTAAATTAACAATAATTCTAATAAGGTGTTTTGATTGTTCAGATTCATCAGATCCGGCGGAAAAAGTTGATTGTCATGAATGTCGMCTTCTAACAGTAGAGGATTACACTGATATGATGTGGACAACAGTAGCAGAGTTTCCAGGTTCGTCCAAAGTACTATCAGTTAAAATTCCCTTACATGAGTTGTACTAACCTTGTTATGGCCATCGTGTATTCCAGGAATTATATTGACAATGATAATCATCGACTTTGCTGGAAGAAAGAAGACAGCAGCTTTCGAGTTCTTTGGCACTGTTGTTTGTTTTGTGTTGCTGATGTTCTGTAATGGAAGGTACGTCATACATTAGTGATGTCATTTATTTGAATGACTAGTAATWATGTCATGTTCATTTCTTTCTTAGAACGTTCATGACCATATGTATATTTGGTGTCCGTGGGTTCGTATCAGGCGCATTCCAGACATTTTACGTCTATACTCCCGAGGTTAGTYGAGTCAAATCAAGCCYACAAACGTTTATAGCATTATAATTTCTTACATGGYATCGACTTTGCATTAACCTGTGCATTATTACATACAGGTTTACCCTACAGTTAACAGAGCACTGGGTCTTGGTTGCTGYAGTGCATTTGCACGTATTGGAGCTATGATGACACCATTTGTAGCGCAGGTGGGTGGTCACCATAACACAGTCCATTGCAGTTACYTTTTACCAACTTCTTATTYCTCGTCATTTCCTTATTTTGTACAAACCAGTGAGTTTAACATCTGTATTGYAYCAGGTCCTTATTAAAAAGTCTGTCAAGTTGGCCTTGGGTACTTATGCCTTAACGTCTTCACTTAGTCTAGTAGCATCCTTACTACTACCTATAGAAACAGGCGGACGAGCTATGCAGGTAACGCTCTTAGTATATAATCTCTGGATATCGACTGCCTCATGCAGTTTCAATTAAGTCAATTGTATTTACAATGTAAACTTTGAACAAGTAATAGATGTACGCCGTAATACACGTAAATGTTTATTGGTGATTTCTGTTTTTTGTTTAGGATACATGATAAAAGTGCAATAATTAAAGGCAGGGCCTTCTCTACATACGTTATAAACATCTAGAAACAGAAATGAATACAAGGGCAACAGAGGAAATATTTTTGTTAGAGCATTATTTATAAGAATCCTTTACTATGAGTGCAAAATTAAACTAAAGTGTTAATTCTAAAGAATTATAAATGTACATATTCAAAGTTTAGAAGAATTAAGTCAAAATTCTGTAGAAGGAATGCATTTAATCTGTGAAATTGTACAAAATYAAAGTAACACAAAATTTGTACGGTYGGTATTTTTTGTGTGTGGAAAATACCGACATTGTTACTATTGAACATCATTACTAATGGAAAATGTCACAAATTAAGTGCATTGCTCTAATCATCAAAACAAAGTTCTTATCATGGCATTTATCTAAAAGTTATCAATATAACCAAGAGTCTAATATGCCAGTGTAATAAATGTGCAAACCACTCAAAACTAGAACAATTTTGTACTTCACATTTGTGGTGGCTGTTTGACAAATGCACTGCTCATAACAAGTGGACCAGTTCTATGTACTGGAAAACACAAAATAAGAACAATCTGTCTACTGGCCTTGATATAAACATCCCTTAAGAAGAGTATTGCATACTTGCACTCAGTATGACTTTTAAATGGTAAAAACTGATTACAAAAAGAATGATACACCTAAGTGTAAATAAAGGTCAAAATAAAGCTGTACATTTCCACTGCTTATTACAACATAATAAAATACAATAATAAAAGAAAGAAGTGTTTAGTCTGTGTCACGACTATCGTCCTGGTTGTCATTAGCAGCAGGTGACCTTGACCTTGATTTCACAGGAGTGCGTGAGCGGGAGCGGGACCTTGAAGGAGATCTAGATCTGCTTGGCCCTCTTCTTTTAGGGGCTGGGGAGCCAGAGTGGCTTCTGGATCGAGAGTGAGATCTGAAAATGAATATTCATATGTATATTTATTGGTTTGATAGAACAACATTACACTAATAAGCATACTTCAATTATCATGGACAATAAACACAACAAAATAACAGKGTTTTCTTACCTTGACCTACGACGTGGAGATTTTGAGCGAGATCTTGAGTATGATCTTGATCTTCTGTGACGTTTTTCCTAAAAATGATTAACAAACAATTAAATAGACACCATGAATTATATTGAGAAAAAGCTGAAAATAGATGCTATATCTTTTGAATRCTTTCTCTGCAAACCTTTATACATTAGCAATAAACTATTGACTATTATGTGTACCGACTAACGAAGGTTTTATTTGAAATAACTTTTTACATACCTCGTATATCCTGATTCTCCTTCCACCGAGTTCAGTATCATCAAGTTTCGTGATTGCATCATGAAGATCATCACGGCTGGAAAACTCTACAATTCTAGAAAAATGAAATCATAGTTATCTTCAATAACRTGAGACTTGGTAATTGCAGATGTTACAAATAATTATCAAGTATATGTCCATTATTCTTACCCCTCTCCTACTCTACGTTTGTGAGCATCTGCATATGTTACTTTGCCAACTTTGCGACAGTAATCCTTGAGATCCTGTTATCAAAACAATCAAAAACAAAACAACTAAATCTAAAGGATAGGATTATGTTGAGAAACTATTGCTGAYATGGACTTCCATCAGAACTCTTTAGTGTAAATATGACCTAAGGTAGGAAATGGCACAAGTATTGATGACTTGTGTACTATTCTTCTTCTTACCTTACACTATATTCTACATTTCCCTCATAAGTTACAGGCGTTAGCTTGCCTTCTCAAACAGAACGCAAAATTTACATCTGATCGCGAGCACACAGGCTTGATCCATTTAAAACCATTTAACCCTTCTGAGCAGCCAGAGAATGATTTAAAACCCTTCGCATCGTTTAATGGTTTAACATCGCATTCAAGGAAAGAGAGATCACACATACTCTAATGATTTTGACACATCATACATGCCCTGGTAACGTGAAAATGTGCAAGCAGTTATATAAGGATTTAGCAATCAAGTTTAATATCTTAATAACCTAGTTCAAGGGGAGTTAATCATTTTGTTCTATACAATAGTTAATTGTCAATGATGACATTACTGAAGGAGACTTGTGTTTTTTTAGTTTTTTTTTGGGGGGGGGGGATAAAGTAGTAACCATTTTTATGTCCAAAAGTCATCCAAACAGGAGCTCTATACCACCTTTCTCCAGCACAAAAGTTGGAAAAATCCAATCAATATCTTTAGTTATTACTGGTCGTAATTCAGGGTCAACTGTAATTCAATAACCTTATAACAGCCAACAGCACTGTATAATAATTMATTTGCTACTTTCAATGTACTGACCTGCCAACTAGTACGGCTTGATAGGTTCTCAACAACAGCAGCATATCCAGTTCTTACTGGTGGACCATATCTGATGATAAATRAGAACTTCAGTATATCAATCCTGATCATATCATCCTCTGTTCATTGTAAATCAATATTTCATTGATYCATGAAATCAGCACTGAATGAATCTTAATGAATTAGACTTCTTGTGACTAACAGTTCATTTAACAACGAATGACAAAGAAGATATAAACATTGTCCTCTGGTTGAGTCCATGGTTTATTAGCATTTTTATGCAAATGAACTGTAATAACTAGCTTCATAGTTCCCTGCCATCTTGAAAGTTTACCTTTACATCAAAAGTATAATGCACAAGTACCTTTCAAGAAGATTCAGGAATCTAAGAAGGTAATAAGTGCTGCAGTTCTGATCAAATATTATTATTGAAATMTTTGTAGAATAGTGTAATAGAATAGTGTAACTCAGTCTGCACTGTACCCTAAGATGAGTAAAATACTTCTCATGACAACTCACTCCTTGTACGATCCTTCAGTATTACACGAAAATTTATGGTTAAGCAAGCTTGAATAATAATATCGAAAAATTTCCTTAGAGCACACAAGGAAGCAGTATTTTAGGCAGTAGATGGTTATAAATTGTGTAATATAATGTGATCCAAGAACTAGAGTGCAAGAGAGGTAGTGTTTATCACATTCTAATTCATAGCACTGTTATGTTTATACATATCCAAGAAAGTTATTGAAAATTACTGAACATTGCAGAAGTTATATTGAAGCTATTTTGTTTCTTACATATTTATTTTTGTTATCATTTCAACGRATATATATTTTTAACTCAATAAAATAGTAAGAAATTTTTAGTTTTGCTTACAATTACTTTATTTTTACATTTTTGTTTTATTTATTAGTCATAATAATATTTAGRCTAGTGTTAGTTAGGTCAAAATAATCATGCGCTAGTATTTTGTAAGGGTATATGGTTTTACAATTTTCAAATTTTATCTATGAGTCATAAAAACAAATATCACTTACTTTTGCCTGCCACCATAACTGGCTCTTAATAAGGAAAACATAAGCGTTAGAATCATGATAATTGCCATGTTAKGCAGTGGGAATTGGTGCAGACTGAGTTACAAATATYCCCCTTTTAGATCAGTAATGGATTTAAGCCTTGAATGTTATCAAAAACAATATTAATGGCCAACTGCATCTTTTTCCTTTTAAGTCATATTATCCAAACAATTCCTTTTGCAAATCTTTAATGATTTTTTTTCAGAGGAGTGGTTTAGCTTAAAGTATTTTGCAAGTGTCTAGGTGTGCAGTACAAAAGCAATGTTTTAACATGTTTGTAATAACATTCAAACAGTTTCCTAAGTATTTCTTACTTATCAAGCCAGACTGGTCTTCTTGCTCCTGAACCAAAGCTGCTACGACCTCCTCTGTCTCTTCCTCCTCCTCCACCTCTACCACCACTAGACCTTCTACCTCTTGCAAGCTCTAGAGTGATTCTACATGGAGAAAATACGTTTTACAAACTTATGTTTCAGAAAAGAATATTACTTTCCAAAAAATCACAGTATGCAAAAAAAAAGTTGGATTAATTCATAAAAGTCCCGGATGTCCGTTTAGTTTTCGCCTTGCATAATAATGAGSGTTTCGTAAATCATTTAACTTCGTCATTTGCACATAAGTATAGAAAAAACTCTCAAAAACAATACAATTCTCTTTGATTTACTTTAAAAAACGTAAAATGATCAAAATATGAAGAAAAGTCAATATGAAATCATGAAATAAAACCAYAAAGAAATCAACCAGGCGGTGGTGTTTCCTTCGCGAGTCCACTGCGAAATTGCCGTTTTCTATAAATACAGCAAAATTTACAAACAACTACGACAAACAGACCTCTCTCCAAGAAGCTCTTTTCCATTCAGTTCGTCGATAGCATCTTCTGCATCTCTGTAATCGTCAAATTCCTAGGCAAAAGCGTTTATGATAAATGTAAGTCAAAGTCCGTTTGGGGAGGCGARGGCCTTGATACGTACCACAAAACCGTAGCCCTTCTTCAAAGTAATGTCTCGAATTTGTCCGTACCCCCTGAAAAACCGCTCTATATCTACTTCTCGTGTATCCATTGGAAGTCTTCCCATAAATACACGCGACATTTTGGATAAAATATACCTTTTCCTTCAAGCTCCTAACACGACAAGAAAATTGAAACGACGTCGCTGGACTATGAACCATGAGGTAGCTATCCCATAARGCCTTGCGGAATTCATGCAAACTGCTKCATGCTGGGTATTTCTATACAGGAATCCCGAAAGAAAACGTAGGTTTACAGTTCAAATGTTGTATCTGAGAGGGTATTGCTAGTATTGAAATCTATGGACTTTCTTTAATGAAAATTATGAACACCGCTGTTTTAAAAATCGTCGCCTACGTAATTTATAGCTGTTACGGAAACACCTAGCTCTTCCGAAACAGCGATACAGCACCGAAGCACCCATTCGTTATAAGTCCAGAACAGTGGACCCTCTCTTCTCAATGACTATGTTTCATGTAAAAGTTGAGAAAAAAAAATAACCGTTGAGATCGTTGATTCGATTCAAATCATTTTCACTTCCTCGCGCCCAGGGTCTTTAATCTTTAAATAAATTAATTGCCACTAGTGAACTAATCCGGCAATGGGGCGGCCAGCGGTGGCTGGCCTAGAGAACAATTGACAGGCAATGGTAACATAATAAAACGAGTAGATAATTAATAAACAAACAAATAAATATGGTAAGCGACTTACAAGACGTCACGACGACATGTAAAACGGACAACATGACCCATTACCGGATTAGTTCACTAGGTAAGGCCGCTACAAAGTTACTTGCTGACGGAATTTGAGGAAAAACTAACTGCGGTAGAGAGTTCCATACAGGAATTGTACGAGGATAGAAGGAGAATTGGAAAGCATTAATTTTGGCTGGGAGCAGGGAGAACTGGTAATTATTACGGACGCTGGCTCTAGTACTGTATGATATAGACTTAGGTAGGACGTCAGATGGAAAAGAGATTTTGACGAGCCCGAAGTTGACCTTGTAAAAAANTTTTTTTTGTGCGCTTGACATACATAAGTTAATGAATCATTCGGAGTCGTATTTTCTCAATAGATTATTTATCAAAATCATCAGTATTTCACATTTTTCGACATTATATCCATTCAAATTTAATTAATTCTCATTTGAATTATGAAGCGTATTTCTTAATATTGTCATTACAAAGATGGACAAAAAATCCTCTACAAGTAAAAATCCCTTTTAGTTGTCAGTTTTAGCTCAGTTTTCTGTTAAAGACTTTTGTCCACATTTTCCATCCACCATAGTAAGTAACTATGACCACACCTACAAGAGTCGATCCCAGTCCCTTTCATCGTTGTTAAAACAATATCCAGATAAATAGAAATATTATACATGTTTTCACGTGYTGCAGAATAGAGCTCTTTTTTTCCTAAAACTTCTCTTGTAAATTTTCTGAAAACTGTTCAATTGATTAATCGCTAAATTCAYTGAAATATCAATATATGCATTATCATAATTCTTATATCATTAAGCTTCCTTTGTACAAAGGCATGCCATAGTTTTATTCTTAGACGATGTCATTGCGTTTCTTCTGGTAGTTCCTCTGGTTCTTGCTCTTCGTCGCTTCTCTGTTGGTAGACTTCACCTTCAAGATTCACAGGTTCTGGACCGGCACCGTCTGGCTGAAGAAGACCTGAAATAGGTACCATAATAGTAACCACAAGTTAAAGCTGCAGCAAACGCTGAGAAAATGATCTTACTACGCACCTGAATGCTTTGTATTTAGCGTCTTCTTCACTAGTTTTCCCAATAAGCTTTTTTTGGCCTTCTTCTTCTCTGTTTTGGACTGACGGACATGATGTAAAAGAGGTTCAGTCAACAAAAGACTAACTTTATTATTTTAGAATTCCAGGCCAAAAAGACCCATTCAGCTTAAAT